TATGGCATCCGTATGAAGGGCATCGGGCCATTCGGCCATTCTTCGGCATCTGTATATATTCTGGATGGATTCGGATTGGTGACACCCTTTGTTGTCATTTGCCTGAGCGTGTGTTGAGGCAATTTGGGTTTTAGCAAGACATTCCACGATCACCGACTATGATTCCAAATGCAGATATAGTGGCCATTGATCATGTTTGGTTGCACTTCAGAGCTCACGTTGTAAGTAATGTCAGACATGCAGCATCCCCTACTGACTGTGTCGATGGGTACATTCAGTGGTTCAGGAGGGTTTCGCATCCTTATATTATTGTTGCTGCAGATGACGCGCGACCGGCTCTTGCACCTAGACAACGCCCCGATGTTCCACAGGAGGCACGACCCCATCGTAGATTGTCTCCACCTTCACCATCTGGCACCCTAGTATGTTATTTTTCATTGCTTATATTATTAAATTTTCTTCATCTTGTTTATTTAATTGTTCGATATAATTATAGTGTAGCCTAGATTTAGGCGAATGGCAAGAATGTTACAGTCCTTGTTATCGTGTCGTCATGTGACCGAGGGTACTATTGCACATCAGGTGTCAGTGGACCTGCTTCAGATTGCTAATGAGGGCATCGACGAATACTCCCCGACTAGGAGAGGGAAAAGGCATGTGTGTGGTAGACGGTTGACGTCTAATTGATAGGACTTTGTATTTCATTTTTTCATTATGTATTGACATCATATTTCCTTTGTATTTGTATTAGACATTTATAATTTCTTATAATTTCAATGTTTTCATTTTGAGTTACATGTTCTTTTATATTGGTTATATAGATGATCAAATATTTATATGTTTAAGTGGAAAAAAATAAGAACTTAATTAACAACAACTAATATAAATATCACGAATATTGATAATATAAATATCTTGATACATAAATAAATACTACATAAATATCACGAATAATAATAATATAAATATCACGAATACTGAAAATAAAGTACTTAAATAACAAAATATAATAGTGTATTCTTACATATCTTCATACATAATATAAATCACGAATCACCTAAGTCAACAAAAGATGTTGTTATGTCCATCAACTGTTCAAATGTTTGCATCCTACTAGTATAAATATATGACCACGCTCGTGCCTCAGGATAACAGTGGGTTGAGGACATGATATTCACCATGGGCAACGGACAACCTTCTTGTAGCTTAACCTGCATTATACAAATTACAATAATTAATTGAGTGATAAGTAATTTTAAAATGAAATCATAAAAAAATGTACTTACCTGCACAAAATGACATCCATGAACATGTCCTATACAAATTAAGCGATGTTGAGTTATATCCGAAGGTGGTGTGAAACGTAGTGGGAAGATAGTATAATTTTGAGAGTATGACAAACATACTAAGATAACGTTATATCGGTTAACAATTGCATAACCAATGTCTGGTAATGTCATCCACTTGTTCATGTTAGCCTGTTATGAATAAAAGAAGTTGTTAGAAAAAAACAAATGTAATAAATAAAATACATAAAATGGGAAACACTTACCGCCGATAGTGACTGCACCAACAAAGAGTTCCTTAGTTCTTCTAGTCTATCATAGCCTCCTACTAGGCTTCCATATTCATCACGCCATGCACTGAGTTCTTTGTACAACTCATTCCTGATAACGGGCCATGAATCTTCTCCGAGTTCCAACAACGCAGCAATGCATCTATACCCACAGTGACCATCAACCACAACATCAACAACGTCCATAATGAAGGGGTGAGTAGTAGAATGAAATTGGTCTATCATTGAAACTCTCCTTTTCTTCACCGCTTTTGGCTTTGATTGTAATTTACTTCTCACAGATGAAGATTCTATGGTTGAATGAAAGGCGTCCACATACTCAAAATATGATGGATCCCACGTAGTAGACCTTTCACTTCGTTGAACTTTAATTTTTTGTGCATCCTTTGTCTTCACTTTATGTAATGGAGGGGACCATTGATGTCAATGTAGGACAAACAATCTCAAGTAACTTCTGCTTGATGGTGACTTTACCGCCAATGTGCTAATGTCAACCTCATTGAATCGTTCTTCTACTTGTTTCAACTCATCTTTAATGGATAACTGAGGCTCAGTTTCATTTAATTCAACATTTGAGAAATGTAATCTTCGCCACATGATATGAAATTCACCTATAGGGATTATCCTAGGATCATATTCGCCATATGCACATGGGACACCAAATGTACGTCTCAATATGCATCCACACTTTGAGGAGTCCAATCCTATCTGCTGCACTATTTTCAATTCCTTAGCAATGAGATCCAATGCATATCGAGACACACGTCCAATAAGTTATCTATATATATAGCCTTTAAAATGGTCACTCGTGAGCAACAGACTACTTTCAAATGACGCCTTAATCTTGTTGCGTTGTAGGATAATGACGTTATGAATATTATCCCAACAAGAACACAAATCACCCATACTATTGCCCAGAACTTTCTTCAGGCTCCAATGAACAGATTCAGCCCTGACACAAAAAAAAACCATCAACAAGTGCAAATAAATATTTATCTACAAAACAAATAAATAAAATAACATTACAACTTACCTATTTGTGGTTGTGTTCCCTAAATGCATTACTTTGTTCGTCCAGAACTTCACAAAGTATGTGCTGTATGAAATAATCCAAGTCTGATTCACATATTCAAAGAACAAAGGCCATGAACTGCTTGCGTATTGAAAATCATTCACATACTCAGCAAACAAGCTTTCATCATCACAATCCATCACATTTTCCCATGCATACATCAACACTTCCCAAACCTCAGTAGAACGAACTAACATTTTGCATTTAGCTTTAACATTTTTAAGGATGTGGAACCGACATAACATCTGATATGACTCAGGGAATACATTTGCAATGGCATTCATCAAAGGCAAGTCTCGGTCAATGACAATGACTTTAGGACCACCCTCAGATGTTACAAATAAACCTTTCAGCTTTTCTAAAGCCCATGTGAAATTACTCTGCCTTTCAGTAGACAAGAAAGCAAATGCTGCTGAGAAGGTTAACCCTGTAGACGTCATACCCACAATCCCAAGCAACAAAAGTCTATATCTATTTGTTTTATATGTGGAATCCATCAAAAATACAACATTAA